TGTTTCAAATTTGTAAAATGGTTTATTAGATTACGGTGAATTCAAGCCGCTTGAATCAAGCGTATGCAAAATCGTCGAATAAAAACGTCTGAATCGATATATTTTCGATTGACAATTTGGTGTGTCCGATGAGTTTCGTGAGTTTATACAACCGAGTTAGCGACATCTGAGTGACATTTGCGTACGCACGGGCCCCATCAATTGCAATAAAATTGAATGCAGATTAATTTCGAATTGCAGACAACAAACACCAATCGAGAGAATGAAATAAAATCGAAAGCATAAACGCGCAATTTTTCTTCGGATCGTTTTTTCTTCTTCTTTCATTTCAATGTTGGCGCAATGAGGGCATAAAACACATAGCCGAACAATGATACAGTGCGAATGAAATAGATGGCAAGAATGCGATTGCAGAGGAGAAAAAAAAGCGAAACTATCGCGCAAATAAATCATTAAATATACAGTGAAACGAAACGAAAACGTATGCGAAAACGAAGACGGGAAAAGTCTAGCGAAATGAACCAGCACAAGAGAAATAAAAAGCGAAACAATGAAAACAAAATCGTGCACACAGGAAAAGAAACGAAAAAAAAGAGAAGCAAATAAAAATCGAGCACAATCAAAGAGCACTTTTTATAAAGAGAATAATATCGTTTTCATAGTCGAACTCATAATTTATTCGTTTGGATCGGCTCGTAGTTCACTCTCGTCCAGAAAACCCATTTGTTACATCGAAAACGTTTTTAATACATAGAAAACGCGCAATAAATAATGTTTATCTTGACGTTAAAGAAAGAAAATCTCGAAGTACTCTACGCAATTCCATTTCATTTCAAATCATCTCATTTGCGGAATGAAAAAAAAGAAAAAGAAATAATAATCGGATAGTTCAGGAAAATGGAACACCGAAAATATTCATAAGAAAGACAAAATGAACGTGTTTTTGTTGTTTGAAAGCCTATGCGTATAACCGTAAAATGCTAGAAATTCTAACATCGTACGTTGATATGTAGAACGCTTTGATATCACTTGATTACTTATTAAAAACACACAACACATTTAGATAATGTCTTTTGAAATGGTTCAACACATATGTGAACATTGGCCAAATGTGATGTATGATGCACCGTTACACACCGTTACCGTTTGAATTCTATGGCATTGCATTAGAGTCGTTGCTCAATAGGTATGCGTCGCTCTCTTTCTCTCTCTCTCTCTCTCTCTCTCTCTCTCTCTCTCTCTCTCTCTCTCTCTCTCTCTCTCTCCGTGTGTGTCTGAACGGCTTTGTAAATCATTTGCTTTTTCAACAGACACTTTTAGATACGTTTGTCATTCTAATTGAAGATACAATGTATGCAAACTCACGACATGTACTCATCTCTTGCACTTCGTTCAATTGGCTTCATACTATGTGTATGTGTCATACTATGTGTATGCTTCATACTATGGATGTGTGTTTGTATGTGAAAATGAGCTAAATCTGCTGTAGTCAGGATTAAAATTTGCCTAAAAATGCTGATTTGATTTTTTACTAACATAGCAATACCGTCATTCGAAATGAAACACATTTACGGCACTCACATTTACACTTCGATTATTCGCTATCAGATCAGATTATGAGCGTATGCCAATATGGAAGTAGCGCGCAAACACATGATTTTCGAATTCAATTTGAATTTGTGGTAAACCCAAGCTAAATGAAATTTAAATCCCGTTGAATTGAGTTTGATTACCATGAAAATCAGCTGATCAATGCATGCATTTGCACACACACTCAACAAGAGAGGAAAAGAAAGATGGAGAGAAAATGAAATGAAAATGAAAAATGCATTGATTTTATTCTGGGTAAATAGACGCAACGATGCTACGATTTCCAATTCAAATTGGCTTTTATTCAATCAATAATGCATCAATCATTTTGGTGATGGCAAGTCGATTGTAAGAATGCAAAAAATGAGCAATTATTCGATATGGCTTCAATGTTTCATCAATCAAACCAATGTTCGAATTGTTTAAAATTGAAAATTTCATTTATTCCAATAAGCTATTCCTCGTTTCGCCTCGGAAATACGGCCATCTGAATTTCGTAAATATTGATATAAACGATGACAACAATGAACACTTTTTTTCTCGGTAAAAATCGATTGACACAAAATGAAAAAAAAAAAAATTACGAAAAAAAGTGTTGACATATTTTTTTGTGCTGCTGATGGGTATGAGAATATGCTATCATTATTTACGCCATTGAAAGTGTCAATATGAAATAAAGTGACAGAAAAAAGCATAGCAAACAATGTGTATATTTGATTTTTATATTTCGATTTCATTATATGGTCATTGGTGTCGTTGAGTCACGTTTTCATTGAATCATGAGAGAATGTCAAACGAATTCATCATAAATGGCAAATGGCCATATTTAATTAAGAAATAAAAGAAAACCTAGCAAAAGTTGCCAACAAAAACAAAATTAATCAATTTAATTGATCGATGTTCTGTGGAAAAGAAAGAGGACTGTTTGGCAAATGTTTGCCTCTGTTTAATTATACAGCAGAGAGATTGTGTAATAACACATTTATTAGTGGAAAATGTTGTAATGCGCATTTGATTAAACCTCGGCGAAGCCACATTGTGGGGATAACCAAATCCATGTGCATACACTATTAATCAAACAAAAACAGCCCCCGATTCGCTGTATGCCTAGAAGACATATGCACATAAGAACCTATATGTATTCACACATTAGTCGAATCATTGTTATTATTATTATTACTCGAGGTTCAAATGGAAATGTCCATGCATGTATGCATCAAAGCTGGCCATTGGCTAGCCATAACCGATTTAGGTCGATTTGCACACACGCAGTGACTCATAAAGTTCTATACAATTGCCATTGTTTAACTATTAACTTGAAATTGCATTTATGTGTTGTATTTGGAGATTTGATCACTTTGCTCTACATCCCCCGTCACCGTCAGCGTATGCCATACGAATTAAATGGGAAAGAGACACAAACACATTGAGAGAGTTTGCATTTGGGCACACACAAAAGTTAGATAAATCAATATTCGGTAATTACATACTTCAATCAATGTTTAACATGTCTTTTGACCAATGTTTTGTTAAAAATCAAACACGGACGGACAACAAGAAATTTGATTTCAATATTTTATGACAATTGCTTTTCTGAACAATTCACATGTTAATGTGGACGGTTTTTGATTAGCATTTTGATTAACATTCAAACCAAAGCGCAACTGAAAATGAAGGAAATGTTATAAATGAGAATTTGAAATTAATACATAGTTGACAAAGAGGAATTGATCGATGGAAATTAGAACTTTTGTTTCAGATTTTATCTGTATATTTTCGTCCTAATAAATCGTAAGAAAGAAGAAGAATGTAGAGACAAAATCATAAAAACTTGATATTTCCTCCAGTTGCGATGACTAATACGTCGCTGGGAATGCGAAAGAATGTAAAAAAAGGAAGACCCACCTTGAACCAGGTGTGATTAAAATACCTTTGAGAATATCGCGTTTTTTTTCTCCAACAAAAAATGAATTGTTAAATCTTTTTCACATCCACATCGCAAATTTTCGAGAGCCAATGACATTGAAATCGTCGCTTGACTCATGTGCTATAAGTGTGCGTCGTCGATTTCGAATATAACGACAAGTTTCAAATTTATGAGTATATACGTATTTCGACCGTGCGAATGGTCAAAGTATGAAAATAAAATGGCGAACAATGAACGTGTGCTCACGGCCTCAATGTCAAATGTTAAATGAATTTTATTCGTGACGTGCCGTTTTTTTTCTTCTACGTTTCAAAAAGATCAGAAGAGCCACCAGATTCAGTTTGATTGGGTTATGTACGTCGTGCCTTTTTTTTAATAAATTCCAATAGGTCTATCGTGATTAGCCATTTCAATGACGCCAGAATTAAAATATTGTTTATTCAATGCAAAAGTCAATCTCTATTTAAACATAATTCGATGCAAAGTAACGTATTGTTGGCGCTTTTAAAATAAACGAAAATCAATATTTATTGCTAAGATATCTTTGGTTTAAAAAAAATTTGAATGCGATATATAAGCCCTCGATAATAATTTATTCAAGTATTCTTCACATAACCGCATAGTTTTCAACTACCTTTTTATTGAGTACAGTATTTAACTGTCCTTGTGTCAATTACTCCATTCTCTATCTGTGTGTGTACACACTATCATCAATACCTGATATTTGTTGCTTTGTGCTGTGGAATAAAAAATGACGCGCCTCACATGAAAACGGTATGAAATTCGGATAAGACATAGAGACTACGCTCGCGAGCTATAATCAAAACCTCAAACAGTTACTGTATGAATGTCTATCATTTTGTCATTGCGGCACGTACATTAAGTATTTAAAGATATCGTGAATAATTAAAATTGTGTTTTGGGAAGAGAATTGTTCATGTTTGAGGTTTTTGAAAAGAAAAACGCATACATTTTTTTAAAAATAGTCGATAATGAAAATTGCATTATGAGTTGTTGTTTTTTTTCATTATCTTATGATTCAATTTCAATGGAAAATAAAGAAAACATAAATATGCTTTGCAATTATCTTCAATTGAAATTGTGGTGTACATATATCAAATGAATGTGTAGTTGATAAAATGAAATTCTGTTACAAAGTCCTTTAATCATTTCCGCACATCGATTAGCGCGTACCTATACAACCCTCCATTTATACGTATCGCTTTTATATAGAAATGTTGAAAATAACATTTCATAACAATTCCAAAGAGAAAAAAACGGTGTGTCTTTATTTATTCTATTGTCTATCGACAGCTACTGTATTGATAGAGGTCACATTGGAGCATGTCGAACGAATTAATTTTTATTAAATGTGAATAGCACAACGCGTATTACGTGACGTCCTAAATATAATATATAATTGACTTGCATATCGTTTCATTAATTTTTTGTTAAATTATTTTCCCTTTTTTTGTCGTTGCAGATTTTTATTCTTTGAAGTAAATCGTAAAGCCGTCACTATACTAGCTCATGGGTTTTGTTGGACGCCGTTGCCAATACAAACTGCAGCACAAATCGCACCGCCAATTACTAGTGTACCAATAACATCCGCATTAGTTACACTAGCGATTGCACGTCGCAACACAGCAATCGCAATGATGAGTTCAAACCATTCGAACCACCTGCCCAGGTATGATATGAAACCGTGTTTTTTTCTACCTTGACACATTTGAGCAATAAATGCTCTTTGAACCAAAATTCGAAGAAACAATCGAATAGAATGTTTCTCAATGATTGGATTCGTCTTACATAACAATTTGATTATTATTGTCATCAATTAAATGTGATTACAGTCGGCGATTGTTCTCACGTGGATTGGCACCGCGGAATCGTCAGCGACTCTATTCAAACCACAACAATCACAATCATAATCACAACAACGGTGGCAATTCGTCCAACAACAATAACACCAGCAATGGGCCAAACAACAATAAAGACTCGGATGGATGTTATTCACATGGGTGAGTGTGTTAAATCATTATGATTTTGTTATGCTTCTACACTGAACGAATTTACCAATAATATTTATTTGATGTTGCTGTTATTACTGTATTGTATTGCAATTTACAAAATTCAATATGTAATCAAAATGAAAAACGGAAAGAGTTGAATTCATAGAAATGCGAAGCCTGGTGTATAAATTGAATGAAAAAAAAAAAACAATATATCCATGTGAATTGACGAAGCAAACGAATACCTACGAGTATAGTTCAAAATCAATCAAGTAACTGAATACATGTGAAGACAATTTACGTGCACCAGTTTTTCATCTCCAATTACAACAAACAAACCATTTGAGATTCGAAAATATATGTTCAATTCTGAAAATTACATATATTGGTTGCTCGTTCGGTTATATTATATGCTCTTTTCATGAACTTAAACACCTCGATAATTTATTATCGATAGAATTTGATAATAAAGGAAAATATATGTGTTTGTTTTTATTTTTAGTAGAGCTGGACCTAGTCATTCTGACAGGCGACACGATAGAACATCAGATCGTGACCGGCGTCAAAGTATGGGTGCTTTGTCAATGGATCGATATTCGGTGAGTTAGTACATTAGTTCGGGTTGTGAATTTTTTGGTGTAATTTCATTTTCTTTTGAATTTTTTTTCCTTCTAGCAAACTGGACCATCACAGTCGCGAAATGAACTTCATATTGATACGAGATCGGATTCGAGTCGCAGTGGAAATAGCAACATGAACGGTGGACGAGACAGAATTAGTCCGCAATATAATGGTTCAAACTCATCGAGACCGGCATCGACGTCCACATATGATATAAAATCGGATAGCCCATCACGTAAACGAAGACGTGTTTCAACACGACAATCACCAACATCGTCTTGGGAGAATCGTCAATCGCCGCGCAGCTCACAAAATCATGGCCATCATCAGCATAGTCCATTGTTGCGACGACGTTTACGTGATCAACCGCAAAGGTCATGGGAACCACAACTTCCAAATATATTTCAACAAACCCCATCCCCTCCGCATCCACAACAACAACAGCAACAACATTCGCGTGAGTTTTATTTTGAAATTTTTCTCATTTCTTCGAAAAAATAATGATTTTGGATTAATGAAGTCGAAATGGTTTCAATCGATATAAAATATGGTTACGTTTAAAAAATGTGTGCGGCAATATTAATTTACCGTTATAATTGTTTAATTTCAGAAGCGCCACAACAGCAACAACCGCAACAAAATCCATTATTGGTTGAAATGAATCAAGTGCCAGTTAGTTTACCATTGCGTCACGATCCACCGATCGGTTGGGCATACTCAACTGGTCCACACATATCAAATCCAACGTTACAAAATTTACCACATTCATGGGTTCGCGATAATCGCTTACAATCACTATGCACCAATCATCCGGCCGCAGCAGCGCCTGCGCCACATTTGCAACAATGCCAAGTGCATACAAATGTTTTTTCACAGCCGTTTGCTCACAATTGCCATTACACTGGATTCGCCGCAACACCTCAATTAACCCAAATGCAGCCACAATCGCATCAACCGAATCACTATCATCATGTGCAACAGGTTAGTATTAGGCATTTGGTGAATCACACATTTTGTGATAAATTAATTTATTTCAATCGTAATACACATTGTAAATATAATCAGTGTATGACGTAAATAGTGCAAAAAAAATAATTAAAACGAATAACTAATTTGCTATGTTCGTATTTTGTGTGCGACACTATGAAAAAGGAGAATTTGGATCATCATCATGGACAATCTCCGACGCCGTTACATTTAACAGCGACAGCAGCTCACCTTCAACATTCCTCGTCGCATATGCCACAAGTATCTCAACCGCAGCCGATTTTCATATCAGCACCCGAAAATCGTCCAATGGATCTCCATCGCCGACGTCTTGCCACGACCAGACGCAATTTTGCCATCGGTAATGATGGTGCACATTCACAGGATATGCGACGCAATTGGAGATACTCATTTCAAAATGTGTGGACACCAACAACGCACCATTCATATTCACATCATCATCATCATCCAGGTCCAATGCATCAAAATCGTATGCATCAGCCGCATAATGTGCCAATTCAAACTGGTCAAATCATCAATTCGGGCATTTTATTGAATTTCCTGTAAGTTAAACACGCCATGTAGTACATCAGAAAAAGCACCATAATTTCAATTGAATTAGACATCAAAATTAAAATGGTTTCTATGTCTTTTTTTGGTGATTAGTGCCATGTTACCGGTCACACAATTTGGTCAGCATGATATTAGCTCGAATGATTCAAATGAAACGGAAAATTATGAGGCACTATTGAATTTGGCCGAACGTTTGGGTGAAGCAAAACCACGCGGTTTAGCACGGCCAGAAATCGATCAACTTCCAAGCTACAAATATAATCCTGAAACCCATACTGGTAAGAGAGAGATATTTCATCAATTGTTTTTTCTTCTCTTCTTTCAAATGCAATTGGTGTGTGCATTGTTTAAATTGCAATTCGGCGTTTCTCTGCAGGTGACCAAAGTTCGTGTGTTGTTTGTATGTGCGATTTTGAAGTGCGACAAGTTCTACGTGTTTTGCCATGCTCTCATGAATTCCACTCTCGCTGTGTCGACAAGTGGTTACGAGTAAGTATCGATTTAATCGAATTGTATTTTACGAATGCATTCACATACGCACTGTATGTGGGCAATTAATTAAAATTCAGTCATTGCTAATGAAAAAAATCAACAAAAACTCTACTTTCAGTCGAATCGTACATGCCCGATATGCAGAGGTGATTCTTGGTCCAATTTAGTCTTACCTTAACGCAACCAGTTTCGATAGTTAAATAATTTTCGTTTTTCGTTCAGGTAATGCTTCTGAGTATCTATCTGGTTGCTCAACCGAGGAGCGTTAGGCAAACTGGACAAAGAAAATGATTTGATGAGAGCACATTCACCGAAGGTAAAAGACAAAAGTTATAGACAAAAAAAAAACACAAGCCGAATTACCAGCACAGAATCTTTCATCTGTTACCACCGAAGAAGTAGATATACCAAAAAAAAAAAAAAACAAATACCCCGAACACAAACACACACATACAACCTTTTGTTCATTTCAATTTTCTTTTGGAGCGGCGGCATACACGATGTTATAATTTGGCTTATGTTTGCTTAAGTGATCTCTGGCTGATCATGTTTTTAACCAATACCAGTACCATCGAAACTAATGTGTCCAGCGGCAATAACTACATATAGTATATAGACATATAAATATTCGCACCAACTTTTTTTTTTTCAAATTTTCTTCAAACAAAACAAAATATATATTGTTATTTTTCCTGTACGGCGAACATTTTCATATGATCTAAACCATTTCGTCTTTCTTAGAATTTAACGAAAAGTAACAACCAACACACACACATTTACTAACAAATACCAAAAGAAAACAAAATGGTTATTAAATATGATACTATCCACAGAAAAAATGAGAAAAATCAATTAAACTGATACAATGACATACGAAAGTGAATAATTCGCATTAAAAAAAAATTATAATCAAAATTTGTATCTATATTATAAATGTATATCTGCAAAGATCAAAACAGCAACATAAAGTAATAATCGGATATATAAGCTTAGATTGTGTGAAAGTGGCTTCGATTTGAAGCAAAAATAACAAGATGAAGAAAAAAAAACAGAAAACAAAATACAAAATTATGTATACGGCGTGTGTTATTTCAAGCACTCAGATCACATATGAGTAATGGTGTAATATTTATTGGAAAGTAATCAAACAATTTTTACAATTAATTCCGGCATTAATTGATGATGTAATTAATTAGATGATGATATAGTTGTGCATATATTGGGTATATGTAGGTGAACAATTTTCGTTGTTCGTAGTTCAAGTTTATTCATAACCCATTCATCGCCGCCCATTTCACAAATATATACATATACACCCGCGCTCTCATAAAAATTTATCGAAATGAAAATATACACAAAAAAAAACTATGCAAAGCTCATTTTCACAATTCGATTGTTTTCATTGGAATTTTCATTTTTTTTTTGCTTTTGCAAAAGATGCTCTATTAAATCAAAAAAAATGACAAATTGATACGTAATGTGACACATATAAATTGATTGACATTTTAAAAGTAATGAAAGCCACACACACATGTATAATTCTATTCTCAAAATTTTTGTTTGATTTTTTTTTCATCCATCAACATTTGAGATAATTGAATGGAAATTGTATGAATTATTAACCAATATACTACACGATCTTTGACAACTTAGTTTTATTCTTGTATTGAATCTTTCTTTCTTGATATTTCCTTCTTTCTTTCTTGTTTTTTTAATATATATCTGTAATTTCTTTTCTTGAAAAAAAAAAATGTTTTTTTTCTGGGATTGTGGATATACATTTGATTTTGTTTCAATCAGAAAAGAAAATCAATTTGATCTATATATGTCTAAAATCATGTAAATAGTAGACGTTTATTCAATATATTTTTGTTTGTTATAAACCGGTGGTAGGTCCGAGTGTTTTGTAAGCGTTGTAGTTTTATCCAAAGCTAAAATTTGAAGAAAAAAAAAATGCAAAAAAGAAATCACTATACAATTTTAAATTAGACATTTCAATTTCAAAAATGAACATTTTGAAAATACCAAAAACAAAAAAAAAATGATTCGAGAAATTTGCATCACCTATTTTTTTGTATTTCAATGAGATAAATTTGAAGAAAAAAAAATTGTTGGATTGTGTGAGTGTGCTAAAAATCAATGTGTATGCAAAGGAGTGAATGAATATTGCTACAAAATTAAATAAAAAGAAACAAAACCATTCGTGATAAGTAGAGTTTTGTGTGCATCCGCGTGTTTTTTTCCAAATGTGTGCGCGATTCTGTTTTTTATAATGCTTCTTAATCTTAGTGATATTATACATGATTGTTAGATGATTTTGAGATTTACTGATTTCGTCTATTTACAATTTTCTTTGTTTAAATCGGAATTCGATTTCCTTGGAATCCAAAGTGTTTCAATAAATAAACAAATCATTTTGATGAAATCAATTAAAAGTATTCAAACATACGATTTGAAAAGAAAACGAAAAAAAATAATTGCTGCAAAAGATGCCAAATTAGATCACAATACATAATCTTTGTCTGATATAGTATTTATGCTTTGTTCGCCAAATTTATTGAAGCAATCGTTTTAATTGATTTAGTGTTAAACGCTTTTTCCGTCAACACAATATACCAATTCACAATCACACACGTACACACTTATTATACGATTTGTTTATGCGACCAATGCAAACGATTGTACACCGTTTGTTGATTATAAATAAATACGCATCAATATATTTTCTAATTAGCCGTAATTGCATATCATTCATTTCCATTATATCTTCAATTCTTTTCTCTCTCTCTTTTTGTCTCTCTCTCTCTCAATCGTACTCTCGTAGTGACCAAAACAACAATGTTAACAATCTACACAACGAACATTTATTAAACAAACAAAAATTTAACTACAAAAAATGCATACCGCACATCTGACCCCAACAAAAGACTTTGATGTGTGACTGTTATTTTTGTCTAACTGTACTGTAAATTCTTGGTAGCCTGCGCCAAATACACACATACCCACACACAACACGTATTTTTAGACTAATGTTAGATGTGTGCAATTTTTTAGTGTGTGTTCTTTTTCGGTTTTGGCTTGCTTTATTATATATTTCAATTTTTTTTGAACTCACAATATCATTGTCTGTCATCCATAAAATGGTTTCAGTTTGTTATCATTCACTATATAATTCAGATTGACATCAAACGTGTGTGTATCTCTCTGCATTTTTATCATTTATTTTTATTGAAAAACAATTCTTTTTCATTTGAAAATGCACCAACATCAATTCAAGTAGTTAAACGGAAACATTTGTATTGGAACCAGATTACGGCAATTACTTTGTGGAAAATATTGCTCAAACAGGCACATTTTTTTTTCTTCTGAACATTCAACATCATTCCAAAGCGATCAGAACAATCTTCGGTTTGGTTTTATGCTCAGTTATCTCCTGGGAATGTGCACACGTCTTTCGATTATTACAGAATACAGACAACATACAAAAATTAACAAAAAATCAATCGCAATATTTCTTGGAACAAAATTAACTTGAACTGTGATACTTGTCAACTGGTTTGATTTAAAAAAAAAAATATTAAATTCAAAAGTGAATTCGTTTTTTGTGTGATGCCGTGCAGATAATGTATTGAGGCAATCTCAGTTATATCGCTCCTTCGATACCTATAATTCCATTCGAAACATATCAACCTTAATAGATATGAACCAGTAGTGTGCGAAGACAGATTTCTAGGAGGTGGTAAAAGTTTTCGCAACGGAGGCGATTTCTCGATTTCGACGCCGAGCGACGCCGAGACTATTCAATCCGATGCCAACCGACGCCGAGATTATTAAATCCGATACCGACCGTTCGCCGACCATCTTTTTTCGATGTTCGAAAATCGAACAAAATTTAATACAAAATGAGAAAAAAATGACAATTGATAAAAAATCCATTCAAAAAATCGTGAACTCGGAAAAAACTCGGATAGCGAAATCATTCCGACGCCGACCGTTCTTCGAGCATCTTGGGTTCGGTCGGAGTCGGCGATCGGTCGGCGTCGGAGCTCGGTCGGCGTCGGAGCTCGGTCGGAGTTGCGAACTACCTACCTACTCTTACCCTCCGCACACTACTGATATGGAAAAATAATGTGATTGAAGTAAATTCTTCAAAATATCGAATTGGTTTTATGTAAATAGCTGAGAATAGCTCAATACTTTATCTGGATGCTTAAGAAATTTCTCTCGCCTTATATTTTCCTTTTCTTGTTTATGTTTTTAATTTCTATGGTTTTTCACTCAGTTTAGTTGTATTTCTTTTTTGAATTCAAACGTTGGGATGAATCTTATTGTTTTAATAATTACAGTTGATTTTGCGAAAGAAAATAATAAAAGGAAAAAAAAATGCAACAAATCTGGTGCCATTTCAATTGAATAAAAAATCAAATTGATTTCGCGAACAGCAACAAAATGAATCCAGATGCAAAGCATTACATTTTTTTTTTCTTTGCAATTTTTAAACAAACAAAATATAACCAATATCACATCGAAAGACTTTCGACTGAATTGTTTTATAAGTACACCTAGATTTTAAACACCACTTTTACCTGTAATTTTTAACGAACATTTTTTAATGTGCAAAATAACATCCATACATCAATGTAATTTTTGTTTTTGTTCTAATTTTTTTTCATTAGTATTTAAATATGGTTTTTAATTTTCCAAACTGCATTTTTATTCCACTTTATTTAATTTGCAAATATTCGTTTGGGTTAGATATTAGACAACTGCTTGAGCGGTCATTAAAAATTAACGTAAAAAAAAAACAACAAAAAATGGAACATTTCATCAAAAATATATATATAAATTTTTATGTACGCATCATCTCACCAACCAAATAATAATGTAATGTTAACCATTTTACACGCAATTTTATCGATAAATGTATTGTACTGTATTTGATCTATTTTTAGAGAGTTGATATTTGTAAGCATTTGCAACAAATCATACAGTTCGTACGTTTTTTCTTGTTATTATCCATTTATTGTATATCGTTTCTAAACTCTTGCTCTGTTTTGCTGTTTGCTATCGCTTTATCTCTATTCTACAACACTAGCTGTTTAGATGGGCTTTTATGAAAAAAAATCTCTATTCCCATGAACCAAGTTGAAGGCAATACAAAAATGAATTAATCTCTTTTTTTCTATTTCTCCTTATATCTCACTCACTGTAATATGTATTGAAATAGTCGATGGGTTTTATTATACTATACATATAAATATTTTTTATGTTCTGACAATTTCAAAACTAATGCTTTCCAATCCAAGTAGAACATTTCGTGTTTTTTTTTGTGTTATTGCTTTAGTTTTGTGCTCATTTTACAATGAAATTAACACACAGACGGCGCAGACTATATTTGGTATTAAAT